CCTGCTGCGGCCGCTGCAGCGCCCCCGAGCGCTCCAGCGCTGGGCTACGGCTACCACTTCGGCAACGGCTACTACAGCTGCCGCATGTCGCACGGCGTGGGCTTACAGCAGAATGCGCTCAAGTCATCGCCGCACGCCTCGCTGGGAGGCTTCCCCGTGGAGAAGTACATGGACGTGTCAGGCCTGGCGAGCAGCAGCGTACCGGCCAACGAGGTGCCAGCGCGAGCCAAGGAAGTATCCTTCTACCAGGGTTATACGAGCCCTTACCAGCATGTGCCCGGCTATATCGACATGGTGTCCACTTTCGGCTCGGGGGAGCCTCGGCACGAGGCCTACATCTCCATGGAGGGGTACCAGTCCTGGACGCTGGCTAACGGGTGGAACAGCCAGGTGTACTGCGCCAAGGACCAGCCACAGGGGTCCCACTTTTGGAAATCTTCCTTTCCAGGTAGGGGCGATGGAGAAAAGGGACCTACACGAGGGAGGGGGAGAGAGAAGAAGAAAAGAAAGGACTAAGAGTATTCGCCCCTACTTGGGAGTGGGTGCCTGTGCTCTACACCTGACCGGGGTTAACCCAGTGGAAGTTTGTCCAGTTCGTGTGAAATCTGTAAATTCCTCCTCTGATTTCAACTGCCTCCGTCACTGCCCTTTCTTTCCTTGTGTGCAGCGCAGACACGTTTTTCTCCTAAAATTGAGGGTCTCTGCGTGCCGTTTCTTCGGACCTCTCCCTTTTCTCCTAAAGAGGCCTTTTTCCTAAGAAGCCTCACAGAGTTGCAACCCCCCCTCCCATTTTCAAAGACATCACTGCTCCAAGATGACCACTAAAGCTTGTTAGATCAAGCCCACAAGCTCCAAACACAGGAACGCAGGAAATCAAAATTTGAGCAAAAGACCTGAATTTGTATGTGTCTATGTATGTGTGTTTGTTTTTATACAACAGACATTTGCAGAAACTGTCCTCATGAACGTGCCCAATAACCACACCATAAAATTGCAGGCTTGTTAAGATGCCGGTTTGAGAAACTATGATAATCAATCAAATTAATTTTTGTTGTTAAGTGCAGATAATATTTCTTTAATAACGGGTAAGTAATATGTCTATGTATATAATAAAGACCAAACAGCGTGGCTTTTTTTTTTTATTTCCTGCACCCCTGAAAACACACACACACACACACACACACACACACACACAGACACACACAGTCCTCAAGTAGGTGCTCCAAATATCCCAGCCTAATTTTTCTTGTGCTTTTGTTTGTATCAGGGGATGTGGCTCTAAATCAGCCAGACATGTGCGTCTACCGAAGAGGGAGGAAGAAGAGAGTGCCTTACACCAAACTGCAGCTCAAAGAACTGGAGAATGAGTATGCCATTAACAAGTTCATTAACAAGGACAAGCGGCGGCGTATCTCGGCTGCTACGAACCTATCTGAGAGACAAGTGACCATTTGGTTTCAGAACCGAAGAGTGAAGGACAAGAAAATTGTCTCCAAGCTCAAAGATACTGTCTCCTGATGTGGTCCAGGTTGGCCACAGACAGTTTAGAAGTCATTCGGTTGTCTCCAAAAGGCCTTTGGAAAGACTTGAATATGTATTTAATTCCTCCCACCCCCTGCCAATGGTGGCAAATTTTGTGAATTGTTTTTCTCTCTTCCCCTTATCTGGCTCTAAAACCTTCTGCTGCCCAGCCTGACTGTGTAGTTCTGATTTTTACTTGTTTATTATTGGTTTTGTTTTTGACTAGGATTTTTTTATATCTGTTTTAAATGTTCTGTTTCTCCCTCTAGGCCAGTATAAAGGGACTTGAAGTATTTTTTAATTATCCCCCCCAAAATGAATTTCAGAAGCGCCATTCTGATTTAAGGTTTCGGGTTTTTTTTAATTACTTGATTTGTTCGTTCCCAGCACTGATTATCTTCATAATCCATTAGGACAGAATGGTTTTCAATCATTCATATCCTGTAATTAGTTAATTGAATCATTAGCTCTCAGCAGTTGCCCTGAGGCAAGTGGAAAGGCAGGCAGTGCTCTGGGGTCACCAGGAAAGTCTAAAAACAGGAGGCTGAAGGTACTGTGATGGCTTTAAATGTGGCCACCTTATCAAATAGGGTTTGTATCAATATTGAAATGAAGACGATCTTTCCAACTTTGGGTGTTTTGCTTGCTGTTTTAATTGTATATTTTTAACATTTTGTAGGTTTGTGTTTTCATTTTAATTTGAAACTCATGTGTCCTCATGGATCGTGGATGCCTTCATTTCTTGAGCTCTCAATGCATATATTTCAATGGCTGCAATCAGTAGAGTGACCCACGGATGGCATAAATGCACCTCCTTCTCTTGGCCTTGAATCTATGGGTCTGGGATTGTGGCTATCTCCTCAATCCTCAAAAAGAGGCTGAATGAATGTGGCCATGGGTGGGAACTTACATACAGAACCCACTGAAGAACCTGACTGTCTGAATAAATGCATTGGGCCTCTCATGGAGCTGTAAAGCGTCCAACAAATATGAAAAATGTGAAGTTCCAAGGTCCAAGAAGAAAAATAATGATGTTTCTGAAAGTGATGATAAATAATTACTTTTAAAGTGCTGCATATTTATACAATTGAGAGATTATTTTTGTAGATGTAATGTCTGTGAGCTGGGATACATAGGCAGTGCTTCAGGCATTTAAAAATCACTTTTTACTCCTAGGGAGATGCCAATAAGCAGAACTCTCTTGTTTCTTCTGAGTCCTTATACATTTGTTTTATTTTTTCAAGTTTGTGTTTCCTCTTGAAATGATTCTTATTTATTACAAAATCTTGATATCTTGAACACAGTTATGTTCTCTGTGGATGAAGGAAACTCAACACTAATTCTGGTTTCTGGAACCTTCATGCTCTCCACTTTTGCCCCCTTCCCTCCCTTTTGCCCATGACTTTAACGTAAGTAGTGATGTTTTAAAATGAGGATATAATTTACAGTGTTTAAAATGATATTTTATACCAGGCCAGCTCAAAAAAACAATAAAATTTTACTTTTCTTTCACTATTGTCAATTTATTTATATAGTTCTATTTTTTTTAAATCCATATGTATTTGTATGCCTGTGCATAGAAAAACTTACTCACTTGAAAATTTTTAACCTAGAGAGACCATTATAAATATCTGGACTAGGAAGGTCTTGAAATTAGAAAGACATATCCATATTTGGCAATCGAAAAAGAAACATTTCAAGCTTATCCCATATCACCTTCTCCGGGCAGTCTGCACAGAGCAGTTGACAACTGAAAACATAATTATAAAATCTAAACTTTCAGACGCAATTTTTAGGCACTAGAATTTTCTGTTTGAGGTCTTTTTGCCACTCAGGGAAATGGCCGCTGAGGAACTGGATGACTCCTCAAGGTTAGCTCCCCACACAATCAACTCAGTTGTTGCTAACGTTTTCGTGTGTAAGTTAGTTACATACTGATATTTAAAACCTCACTGAGTGTGAAAACTCTCCTGGTGGGAGGGCTCCCTCATGACTTTGAGAGAGAAAACGCAGAGACTTAAGACTTGGAGCTACTTTCGTTTTCTCTGTCCCAGCTTGATTTCTTTCATATCTTACTGCCGACAGTGGACAGCTAACTTCGTTTTTGAGGGGGAGGGACAGAGACGGAGAGACAGAGAGAGAGATTGGATGGCGATTCAATCTCTGCAGAAGAAATAACCCATGTACAAGGGGCCATGCCATCCCCCACCTTACACTTCGGCAAGGGTCGTTAGCGTTTTTGTGGTTTTTCTCAAAAGATATGTTTTCATGGGAAACGGGCACGTTTTTCCTTTCTCCTCATCGCCAACCTTCCCCTCCATTTTTTGTGAGTCCCACACTCCAGAGCGTCACTCTATTTCCAGGTCTATTTCTCGGGTTTCCCATCGTGGGTAGGGGAGATTGCCTCGAGGTTTTCCTTTCATCTCTAGTTTGCATGTCAGTACCCCCACTCCCCCCGCCTTGGAGAAATAGTAGGTTTGCTGAAGATTAAAACTGTACTCAAACGCTCTCTGGAGGAATTTGGATTCAGAGCTAAATCAATAACAGAAGGAGGCTTTGTTATTTATATGCGTTCCCTTTATATTCCAAATTGCGGAGGGAGGGAAGGAACTGGAAAGTGACCCAGGCACTGGGAGCGAGGCCCTCGGGGAGTCCGGGAGGCTAAGAGGGCTTGGAGAGAGGCCTTTCCTTCTGTTGGAGACAGGCGGCAGGAGGGTGCCTCAGAAACTGGGCAGGTTTTTAGAGCCGCGGGTGGGGGAACAAGGCCCCCGTGTAGCGTGATTCAAGAGGCGAAGGAAGCACTGGAGCCGGGACCCACGGCCAGACAAAGGGCAACTGCAATGCTTCCCCGCCTCTGGCAACCCCCTGGGTCCCTCTGGCTCCGCTGTCAGGGAGCCAGTGTCAGGGGCGGCCTTGTCGCCAAGATCTCCGACTTTCGGAGGCGCTCGGCTGCGTCTGAAAGCGCGCTGTGACCGCGCGGGCTGGCGACCCCAGGGCGGCCGCACCGCCCTTCACTGTTGATCTTGACCGTGCGGCTGGGCCTCGATAGGCATGGAGCGCGCTCGCCATCTCCTGGGCGTTGGGCGGCATTGGCAGAGCTCGCTATTAGCTCCTCAGCCAAATCCTTTCCCATTCTCTAAATCACCAGCCAAGCCGCCTCCCGCCACTACTTTCCACCCCGACCCTCCCTCGATCCGGGTCCACAGCTCGCATAAGACTTTGTCTGCCAGACCTCTAAAGTCATAAACCCGGGGAATGAAGTGGGAAGACTGGGCAAGGAGCAATGGAGGGAACCCTAGTTGTTCCTGTCTTTCCAGTTTTTCACTTAGTTCTTTTATGCCTTTAGTCCTGAGGCACAAACAGCTGTTGTAGGGTTGCGTAAAGGTCCGAAGGAGACACCCCTCGGCTTGGAAATAACGAAGAATCGTCTTGCACTGAAACGTGAGGAGCAGAGACTGCAGGGACCCCTGGAGCTGGAGCTTTCGGGAGTAACGAAGCTGCAGCTCCTCGAAAATAGGATGGGTTCCCCAAAATAAGAGCTCTTAGGGATCTGAGGTTTGTGTTCCCTTAAGTGTCTAGGAACTGGGGTTGCAGGTTGTGCTTGCCCCCACCTCCCAAGAGAGGACGCGAGAGAGTGAGTCTGTGTGCCTGAGCTCCTAAGGAAACCCTCTGGCAGAGCCAAAGGAGCCTCAGACGTCCCCACCCCCACGTCCTCACTCCCTCTCCCCGCCCCCCCCCCCAACCAGAGCAGGAGGAAGAGGCCGATTGCGTTCCCCAGAGCCACCCAATTGGTCGCCATAACTCACACAATAAAGTCGCAGCGCGGTGGTCAGTCTTGCCCTCCGGCGGCGCCTGTGTGGTCTCAGTGCGGGAGCCCGCGATCTAACCAATTCCAGCTTGGCTCGCAGACCGAGGGTCCTGCTGCAGGCTGAGACTGGCGCCGGTCACGGGGTCTCCAAGGGTCTTGGGATCGGAGGCAGGAGGGGGAGGACCCCTAGTCCGCTGACCGGACTAGGCAAGAGGGCCAGTGGCGGGGTCTGAGCACACCGCTCCCAGCTAAGAACTGCTGCCCTTCCCACTTCGATGTTTGTCAGACCTGTGAACTCCCTATCCCCGGCACCCCTGGGGGCGCTGAGGCGAGGAACTCTGCTAGCCAGCTGCCTCCGAACGCCCGCTCTTCCCCGGCCAGGTGACTCTGGCTCTTCTGCCTTTCCACACCCAGTCAGGGGAGTTCGTCCTGCTTTGCCCTCCACTTGGTGGATGGGGACACCACGGAGTTCTGGTTTGCAGTGTGTAGTCCCGGAGAGGACTCCTGACGATAAAAGGAATGTAGCCATTGGCCACGATTGGTGGATCAAACTGATGGGTTCCCTGGCGGACATTCTCCATGGACCTGTATGGCAACTTCCCTAGGATCAGAGTTCTTAGCCATGGGGACACAAACCAGGAGTAATGCGGCCTCCTTCCTGGATCCCAAACTTGGGTAGTTTGTGATGCCCTTTTTGTGTCTGCGGCCTGGAACTGAGGGCTCAAGCAGTGAATGGGTCTTTGCTGCCAGATCTCCAGGCAGAGGTCTCTGGAGAAAGCCTTACTGTGGGAGTGATTGGGGTAAGAGTGACATTGCTTAGGCCAAGGGACAGAGCTCCTGGTGCCGCCGGACCGCGCCCTCTCCGGACAAGTCGAGAGGCGCCGGTTAATGGAAAATGCCTCCGCTGGAACTTAAAGCCGGTAGAAGCAAGCCGGGCCCAGAAAGCCTGCGGAAAACGGATCGCAAAGCCAATCACAGCCAAGGAGAGTCCCAAGGGACACTTGGGCAGAAGCACCCTCTTGCCCGACGTCCCCAGCTGCCGAAGCCGGGCTTGGAAACCCTCAGAGAGTTAGTCTTCGCTCAACTTGATTTGACTCTTCTGGCAGCCTAGTCTTTCGCCATCGAACATTGCGGGTGTTATCATAATACTCTGAAGGGGGGGAAAACGGGTCGGGGGGATGTAGGCGGTGCTGAAATGACCGGCTTTGAAGAACCTGCAGGCAAAGTTTCGTCCAATCGTCTGAGCCTGTCCTCTTATTCCCGGTTGTAACTAAATACTGTTGCGAGCGCAGCCGAAGCCCTTTGTTGGAGATGTGTGAGCGCAGTCTCTACAGAGCGGGCTATGTGGGCTCGCTTCTGAATTTGCAGTCGCCAGACTCTTTCTACTTCTCCAACCTGCGGCCGAATGGCGGCCAGTTGGCCGCGCTTCCCCCTATCTCCTACCCGCGCGGCGCGCTGCCCTGGGCCGCCACGCCAGCCTCCTGCGCCCCAGCGCAGCCTGCGGGCGCCACTGCCTTCGGCGGCTTCTCGCAGCCCTACCTAGCTGGCTCCGGGCCTCTCGGCCTGCAGCCCACAACAGCCAAGGACGGACCCGAAGAGCAGGCTAAGTTCTATGCGCCCGAAGCGGCCTCTGGGCCTGAGGAGCGCGGTCGTACCCGGCCTTCCTTCGCCCCCGAGTCTAGCCTGGCCCCTGCAGTGGCTGCTCTCAAAGCGGCCAAGTATGACTACGCGGGCGTGGGTCGTGCCACGCCGGGCTCCGCGACCCTGCTCCAGGGGGCTCCCTGCGCCCCCGGCTTCAAGGACGACACCAAGGGCTCGCTCAACTTGAACATGACAGTGCAGGCGGCGGGCGTTGCCTCCTGCCTGCGACCTTCACTGCCCGACGGTAAACGGTGCCCATGCTCCCCGGGCCGATTTGGGCCGGGACGGGAGGTGGGGTTCCAGGGAGAGTGTAAGGGGAGGTGAACCGCCTGGGGGCGGGCAGTAGACAGAGAACGGGCTGGGCTGACGTGGGTTGGGGCTGTGTTGCAGGCCTGCCGTGGGGGGCGGCCCCGGGGAGGGCCCGCAAGAAGCGGAAACCCTACACGAAGCAGCAGATTGCGGAGTTGGAGAACGAATTCCTCGTCAACGAATTCATCAACCGGCAGAAACGCAAGGAATTGTCCAATAGGCTGAACCTCAGCGATCAGCAGGTCAAAATCTGGTTCCAGAACAGGCGTATGAAGAAGAAGCGCGTGGTGCTGAGGGAGCAGGCGCTGGCGCTCTACTAGCCGTGCGCGTGGCCACGGCCCGGCTGGGTCTGCCCTTTTGGACAGAGGCCTTGTTTGGGGAGGGGAATCTGGGGCCAAGGCTAAGGCTTTTCCTTCGGTTCCTTCTCTGCTAGTCCCAGAAGCCACCAAGAGATTTAGAGACCAGGCCAGCTGGGCCTCCTTGCTTTCCTCAGTCCCTGAGAAGCCCGTGAGAAACGTGTGGCAGTACAGTGCACCTCTGGCTGGCCTTAAGGCTTCCACGTGGGGGCACTGAGGCCACCTCTCCTTGCTCCTGGCTGGGGCATTTTCACCCACCTCTCATTCTTGCTCCCTGGTACCTGGATTTTTCTGTTTCCACCCAGTTCGTTCTACCTTTCCCCCTCTCTCCAGCCCCTTCAGCCTATAGCAGTTGCCTAGTTAGGGCTCAGAGTGGAAGGCCTCCTGAGGGAATGGAAAGGACGGTGGGTACAATTAGGTCTCTGCAGCAGAAGCCCTTTGTGGCAAGGCCAGTATCTTCACTCTGGAGAAAGGAAAGGGCACCATCTACCCTCCACCCTCCTGTCTGTCCTGGCTGACTTGAGAGGACAAAAGCCACACTAGATCTTCAGACTTTGGGAGGAAAAGGGAGAGAAGAGGAGGGGCTGGGTATTGGGGTAAACTTGGAGATATCTCGAAATGAGAAATGTGAAATAGGCTGGCCCCTCCAGCTGGGTAGGATAGAGTGGAACCTTCATTTCCTGAGATTGGATGAGAGAGACTGGGGCTCCAGACAAAGTGCCATCTCCAGACAAGACTGGCAAATATTGCCCTACTCCCACCTTCTCATACATGCCTAGGCCAGGCCCATGAACCCTGTAACTGGATACCCAGAGCCTACCTCTGGGGAAAGGAGCTGCTGGTCTGCTTGGAAGCTCTGTTGCACAGGGAGGAGGGAAAGATATCCAAGGGGAGGAGAAGGGAGTGAACAAGAGGAGGAGGGGTGCTACACTCCAGCTGTAAATATGGCTTTCCAGTTGAGGTGAGTAAAGGTGTCGGTGCATCTTTCTTCCTTGAATTACCTTAATGGACTCCCAAAAGGATAAGCAAAAGATCCTTCTCAAGAGTCAAGGGTTGGGGAAGGAAATCTCTTAGATTCTCCACCCAGCTAGCTGCTCTTGACAAAGCAAAGAGGACCAGAAGTTCCTCTCACCGTCTCCACCATCTGCCAACTCTACCAGAGGCCCAGCTACTGTGCCCCTTCTGAGGCATGTCTGGCCTGTCCCAGTGGAGACTTCAAGGCCCTGGACCCTGCCAGGCTTGCCTCAAGGAGGCAGGGGTTCCCAAATGCCAGGTGGAGTTGTTCTGGGTGTATTGGAGTGTCCCACCTTAATCTCAGTGAACAAAGCCTCCCTCTGGCCAGCTCATTCCACTTTCTCTGCCTCTTTTCCCTCTCCTTCTGACATACAGCACTCCTCCTTCGCACCTCCTAGCATGATGCACAACAACCCAAGGATTCAGGATGCCTTCCCAAAGTCCAGTGATTTCTTTTCAGGGGAGGACCTGGCCCTAAACCTGGAGTGGGCACCTCACAGAGAGCCCTGAGCCTTAGCCCAACTGACTTCAGTTGATGTTTAGACTAATTTCATTTTCTAGGCTATCTAATAGTTATCATGCATGTTTTGTTTTGATTTTGTCAAAAACAGTAGCTTGTATATATCAGACACAATATATACAAATGTTTTGAGTGAAAATAAATATTCAGGTCTGAGCCAAGCTGTCAAGGGGCTGAAGTCAATTTTTCAAAATGTTTTGGATTACCCCTTAATGTTTTTCAGGCCACCAAATTCGTTTTTCTTTTCTGACTGTTGTTTCACCGCGGGTGTTGACTGTTCGTTAAATGAGAAAATGGCTTCCGAGGCGGTCAGGAAATGGTGTGTAAAAGCCTCGAACCAAATATGTTTGGAATATCCAAAAGGGAAGGACCATGGCAAATGTGAGTGTGTCTCACACATTAAGAGGACTCTCAGCTTGTTGCAAGCTGGGACTTCTGCACTTAGCCTAAATTCTCAAACTTTAAAGCTTGCTGTTATTCAGGGTCTGTAAAGATTTGAGGTTCCTCAAATTTCAAAACAAAACGTCTGTCTCCACGGAGTTTTGGTCCGGCTTCTCTGGAACCGGCTAGGTCCTGCTAAATCCTTGATACCAGCAGGTTTACCAGGAGCCCAGCAGACTCCCTTGGGAAATAGGGCCTCAAAACTCCCTAGTCCATCTGAACCTCTAGCTCAGTCCAGGAAAGTCAGGGCCTGCTTGCTACTCATCTTCTTGCAAACACCAGCTCCTAGCTGGTGGAGGTATAAACTAGCTTCTAGCTAGAGGAAGAATTAGCAAAACTACTAAATCGCTAATACTAAATATCCAACATTTCAACTCCCCTTCCCAGAAGCAAATTTTTTATTGTTCTTTATAATTAAATTTTTAATTGTTCTTTAATTGTATATACACACACAACTATATATACATATATGTATATATATTCAATAGGAGAGAAAGAAGCAAGAGCTGCTAAGGCCCTGTGGCTCAAAAGGATTCCCCACCTGGCTGGACACATAGAGGCTGTGGTACCCAGAGCAGGATCTCCAAGTCTGACTCTGCATTCAGAGGTTTGCCTGCTCAAAAACAACTGAACAAAGGCAGAAGCCGCACTGAGCCCTCCGAAGGCTGGGGAAAGGAGGAGGAAAGCATACGTACTCAGATCCAGGCCTTAAGACAGACAACACGGAGGCCGTTTCTTTCCAAAATATATCATTAAATCATCGTGTTCTTTTCCTTTAGCCTGGGATGAGTGGAGGGAGGGGATATTCATGGAGATCACTCCTCACAGAAAATTAAATTATTCTAAATATAAAAGCGTATCTCTTGGTTCAGCAGTTTTTTCCAAATCTATCCCGTTTGCTATTTGACACAAATACAAAGACTCTGATGTCTCCTTCCATAGCCTGGGTTCCCGCAGAGATTTGGAACCACTAAGAAATTTGTAAGAAAAAAAAAATGCTGAAGAGAAAGGACGCTAAAATCTGAGTGCTCAACATTTCCTTCAGAAAGACAAATGCGTCCTCTGAAATGCTACAGTCCAAGCGGGCCTCTTGACTAAGAAAACGGTTTTAAAAAGAGAAAAAAACCAGCTTCGTCTGTCATTCAATCAGTTGCGAACTCAGAGGGCGGCGGGGGACGGGGGACACTTTTAAGGCCTGGGGGTTCTCCCCCAAGGAGGCGGGCTGGGGAGGCTTCCGGGATGCCGGCGGGTGGAAGAGAAATCCGGAATCGTTGTAAATATTCATGTGGGGGGGATGCCCCTTTACCCGCCTCTCCCAGCTGCATTCCCCCCTCAGTGATAGTGGGGGAGGGCAAGGCGACTGCCCCACTGTCCTTAGACAAAGGTGATCTCCTCATATTCTTGTTCTCCCGTCGCTTGACTTAAGGAGTCCATTCCGAAGACTCTGCAGGGAAGGAACTGGCTCTGGGTGTTTTCCCTGCGTTTCTCTTCTTTCGTTTCTTAAAAGAGCATAAATAATTAAAGTTTGGCAGGGAGGAAAAGCTTCCTTGCAGAACTGTAGTGGCAATAAATGAAATGACTCAGAATCCCTTCCCCAGTCAGCTTTTACGAGAGCTGCCAGACAGTGTCTGTTCACGTTCTCCAGATACCAGGGGCGCCCTGACAAAGTTAAGGTCAAGTTAGTGTCTTATCTTGGGTGGCTCAAAATCACCGCATCGCGTCCCGTCGCTGTGCGGAAAGCTCTTCCTCGCAGAGCTGCTGGCTGCGCCCCGAAGGCCTGGTGCGCTCCCTGCGTTTCGGGTGGGGCCGCGCAGACAAGGACAAGGCCACAGAGCCGGGGTCTTCACGGTAGGTTCTCGAGCGGGACGCGCGGGTCCGGAGGCTGCGGTTTTCCCTGGGTTTGGGGAATGGGGGCAGGAACTAGGAGGGAGTTGGGGCCAAAGAGCCAAGCGGGCTGGGACTGGAATGAAAGCGCTCTGGGTTGTGGACTGGGTCGGGGGGCAAGGGTCCGCGCTAAGGAGCCGAAAAGGGACCGGCCGCCCCCTTCCCCTGTGCACCGGCGCGCCACTGCAGCTGGCTCACCCTCCCCCGCCAAATCGCTGCTCCCGCCGGAGCTGCCGTCGCCATGTCGTTGAACTTGAATGGTTCGTCCTCCCCATTTCCCTCTTTGGCGGTCAGCAGGCTCCACACTGGGGGCGCCGGGCTGCCTGCGCCCCACCCCGTGCTGCCAGCAGAGAGAAGGTGCGAGAATTTTTGCGAACCCCCAGACACATAAAGACCCGGATTGAAGTCATCGCCGCTGCCCTGGGTCCTGAGCTACCGCAGGGCCAGTGTGCAGCGTCCGGGGAGCCATTTTAGGAGAGAGATCCAGGGGCGTCGACCACGAGTCCTAAAGGGAGAGGCTTGGGCCTGGGATGGAGATGGGGAAGCAGATACGTGTGCTGGGGGTCTGGGTTGAGAAGAATATCAGCTGGAATCTGGGCAGGGGTGCCAGTTGTGGGGAAGGAGCACACAAGATGGGCAGTTCTAGTTGGGGAAGGCTCGGTGCCCTCCAGTCGCCACAGACCTATTTGCGCAGTGTTGGGGGAGGGAAGCAGACATGGGAAGGGGCGGAGGAAGGAGAGAGGAAGGGAGAAAGGGAGGGAGGAGAAAAAGAGGAAGGGGGGGACATCAGCCAGAAAATAGATATTAGCTCAGACCACCCGCCTTTTCTCTGTCTGTCCGCACGGTGGGCAGAGCGCACAGCACCGGCACTGCAGCAGCCCGGGCCAGGGAGGGAACCAGCATCACAGCCAGCGCCGCCTGCCCTGGGTATAGGACTGAGGCCCAGGCCCCAGCACTGGGATTGCCTGGGCGGAGGAATCTCGGGGAAAGGGGCAGCCTCATGCCCTCGGTTCTGGGATTTGGGTTTGGGAAGGGACGGTTTACCTTTGAAAAGCGTCTTCTCTCTCGGAGGTGGGAGCCCAGGCCTCGCCTGGACCCATGGGCTAGGAGAGGGTCGCGGCAGGCTGGGAGGAGAGTGAGGCCTCAGGGGAGTGGATGGGGTGCCCCGCGAAGAGTCTGCCTCAGTGTCAGGTGACACAGAGGGGCTTCAGTAGGAAGTCAGGCGCCGCTGAGAGCCCTCAGAGAGACAACCTATTTTGGGGGAGGGACTGAAGTGACCATGCCAGCCCAAGGGTGCCAGAAGAGCCTCGGGGAAACGCAACGTGGATGCGCAGGCCTTGGCGGGGCTCCGAAGCAGTGAAGGGTCTGGGTGTAAGGCGGACACCCAGGCCAGGCCTGAAAGCAGAGGGGTGAGGAGGACGAAGGTGCGAGTGTGAGGGGGTTGTCTCTTGTGGGAAGCCAGCGGGAAGCCAGGCACCCTGAGAGTAGGACTCCAGATCCTTTTGTTCACCAGACTCCCCAGATTCTAGGGAGGCCAGGGGCCACGGGCTGAGCTCGCTCCTGGCCTTAGTGCTAAAGGGGAAGGCAGAGAGGCAACAGGGAGAGAGACAGAGACAGTGACACATAGCTTAGGGGAAAGGAGGGGAGAGGATGAGAGGGCAGAGAGAGACAGGAAAAAGGAGACGGGAAAGGAAGAGGAAGGAAGAAGGAAAGCGGAAAAGAAGGGGAAGGAGAGAAGTGAAGACATGAGAGAGAAGGGAGAAGACTGAAGAGAGACCAAGCAAGGAGAAAGAGAGACAACAGAGAGGGAAACCAGAGAAGAGGGAAGAGAGCCGGGTGGGCACGAAGGCCCCGGCCTAGGTGAGTGCCTAGGCGGTGAGTGGCCTGGGTTTTTCCGAGGTCAGCCCTCGCACCCCTGGGGGCAGAACCGGAAAGAGCCAAGTCACTCCGCGCTGAACGCGCTGGGCAGAGAAATATGTAAATCAGGGCTCCCTGCGCCCTAGAGAGTGGCGAAATTATGCCCGCCCGGTGAACAAGAAGCAACAAGCTCCCAGGCGGGTGAGCTGCAGAGGGTGGCAGAGTCGCGGGGGAGGGAGCGGCTGCAGTAAGGGGGGTGGGGTTCGGAACCTCACACCCTCACACCTAGTTTCTAGCTTCTAGGGAGCCTGGAGCCGGGGCTCCCCCCCCCCCCACTCCGCTCGCTGCTTCTCTCCCTTCCCCCTTCCTCCCCCTCTTCCCCCTCCTTCCTCCTCCCCACCGGCCTCGGTCCGCGTACTTAAAGCGGCGCGGGAGGGCGGACGCGGGCGGGCGGCCCGTTCGGGCGGTGGCAGATGCGCCCAGCGGTGGCAGCGGCCAGCGGCGCGCAGGTGACCGGCCTGAGGCGCAGCCTGGTCAGGGAGCGCCCTGGGAGAGCTGGCGGGAGAGGGCAGCCGACCCGCCCCCAGCGTCTCGGCGCCAGGAGCCGTCCCAGGGCGTGTTGGCGAGCGCTGATATAGATATAAGGACATTTCTCTTCATGGCGTCACGTGACATAATTACCACCAGAATCAATCAAGATGAATTGCACGTCAGCGCCCGGTGGGGATTTTTGCTTAGTTGATCCTGGCCCAAGCCTCTTGTGCAATCGATGGCTCAGGTTGGCTGCGCGGGGAGCGGCCAGGGGCTCGCTGGCGCGCACGCCGCTGAGCCATGAACGACTTTGACGAGTGCGGCCCGAGCGCAGCCAGCATGTACCTGCCGGGCTGCGCCTACTATGTGGCCCCGTCTGACTTCGCTAGCAAGCCGTCGTTCCTTTCCCAACCGTCGTCCTGCCAGATGACTTTCCCCTACTCTTCCAACCTGGCTCCGCACGTCCAGCCCGTGCGCGAAGTGGCCTTCCGCGACTACGGCCTGGAGCGCGCCAAGTGGCCGTACCGCGG